AAGGAGTAGCTGATGGGTTTGAACTGCCAGACTTCTGGTTGGCAGTCAAATGCCTTAGGCACTATACCACTAGAGCTCCCATACACTACATAGGTACAAGTTAAATAAATATATGTAAATAAATAGAAGATTGAATGGCCTATAGTATGTGCCAAAATTGCTCATTGTTAAAAACATTACTATTATTTTGTATCCCCACAATATTTCTTATCTTCTCCCTGAGTGGCACACATGGTTAAGTGCTTGGCTACTAGCAGAAATGTTGGGAGTTTGAACGCACCCTGAGATGTCTTGGAAGATAGGTCTGGGGATCTGCTGTTGTAAGGCCACAGCCTTGAAAATCCTATAAAAGCAAAAAACCAAACTCACTGCTGTCGAGTCAGATCCAACTCATAGCGACCCCTCCTTGGGTTTCTGAGGAGATATCACTACGGAAGTAGATTGCCCAACCTTCCTTTTGAGAAATGGCTGGTGGGTTTGAACCTCCAGCCTTCTGGTTAGCAGTTAAATGCCTTAGGCACTATGCCACCAGAGCTCAGTTTTACTCTGAACCACAGGGGTCACCATGAGACAGATTCGACTCAATGGCGCTTAACAACAACACCAACAATATATAAACCAAACAAAACTCACTGCTATTGAGTTGTATACGACTCATAGTGACCCCTCCCTGGGTTTCCAAGGCAGTAACACTATGGAAGTAGATTGCCTTGTCTTCCTTCCGAGGAGTGGCTGGTGGGTTTGAACTGCTTTAGGCACTATGCCACCAGAGCAACAACATATAGTAGGTAATATATAAGAGTCTTAAATTACTGCACTAAATCTCACCTCTTTTGTAATTTTACTTTGTTTACCAAAAAGTTAATAGTATTAATGGTCATAGTAAATAATGTCTAATCATGCCACGCTGCTGACCCTGCCTCTCTCCCAGATTCTAGGCTTTGTGAGAGCAGGTTAAAAACCCATACATCACCCCTAAAGCAGCCCATCTGTTCAGGGTTATAGAAAAACATTAGGTGGGTGAGAGGTAAGGCTTGATTGATTTATTTTTTCCTAATAAGATGTATTATGTATGGGACAAGCATATGTGACCCACAATTTTCTTTGCAATATTTGTTTAAGTTAAAACTAGGTCATATTTTGAAGATATAATATTCACCAATTTTTCTAGGCTGGAACATATCCCAACTCCAGAAACTTTCTGGTATGTGTGTGTATGTGTGTGGGGGGTGGGTGGACAGATGTGGGACTGTGTCTTTTAGTCTGGAGGAACCTGGCCACTCATGTCTGTAGAGTCACTACCAATTTCTATAATTTTGCCTTGTATCTGTATTTGAAATTGTTGTCCTCTGAAGCCTGCCTAAACCTAGAACATGCTCTTGGGAATGATCTAAATTAAAGTTAGTAATTCGCCTGAACAGTTAGATTTAATGCTAATGTAGAGTTCTTATGGCTTCCAAGAGTGCCTTGGTGTTTCTCTGGATTGGAACAATGGCCTTGCTTCTCTGGCCTCAGTGACTTATTCATAGGTTTACATGTTCCTGTTTCTTCCTAGAGAAGAAAACATTAATCACTATTAGGTCAGACCACTGAGAACATGATGAAACTGTAAACAATGATGACAGATAAATTTGTATCTTCAAATACACTAAATTTTCATTGGAATTCCAAGGTTTCAGAGTTCTCTGAAACTTAGCCACAAATTTCTGTCAAGTGAAGAGATTTAGTTGCATTCAACTGACTTTATTCAAGAATCAGTATTAAATGTATCATGAGTGTAAAATGGAAGGAAAGATGAGAAATGAGCCAAATCTGAGAAAATCACTTTCTTTCTTGACCAAAGCTGACAAGTGGCTGAAGAAGAGTTTGAAGGAGTCATTTGGTTTCAGGAAGACCTAAAAAAAAAAAAAAAAAAAAAAAAAGTTTAAGGACTTAATTCATAGTGTATTAGTAGTTATTATATGTAGACTTTTATTTTATTTCCATGATAGGTCTCTTACATGTTAGTATCCAATTAGTTTATTGAATTAAATATTTACAAATATTACAAATTTTTAAAGCTGTCATATAAAACAAAACAAATTCATTGGCATTTAGTTGATTCGAACTCATAGTGACCCTATAGGACAGAATAGAACTGCCTCATAAGGTTTGCAAAGTTGTAAATCTTTGCGAAAGCAGATTGCCTCATCTTGTTCCCACAGAATGGCTGGTGTGTTCGAACCGCTGAACTTTTGGTTAGCAGCCAAATGCTTTAACCACTGTGCACAAGAGCTCTTGTCATATACCAAAAAACCAAACTCACTGCTGTCCAGTTGATTTTGATTCTTAGCAACCCCTCCTTGGGTTTCTGAGGCAGTATCCTAGGAGCTCTGGTAGCAGAGTGGCTAAAGCACTTGACTGCTAACCAGAAGGCTGGCGGTTCAA